TATTAAAAGAAATATGTTTAAGAGGACACCTTATCTGTGTATATCTTTGACAGGTATATATATAGCTTTTAAAATATAAGTCTTCTCCCAAGTAGTGCTCAAGCTGGCAGCAGTGTGACCCTGCACTGTGGTTTTAACCCACTGTTAGACAAAGGTAATCCAGCTCAAGAGAAGCAGCATTGTGCTTTTCCTGAAGAGCTATCTCACCTGAGACACTGTCCACACAGCCCAGCACTGTCTCATCAGTACACAGCCTTACTTGGAAAATTATGTGGCACCTCCCAGAGTACTTAACACCACAGCAGCCTTCCCCAGGCCTTAAATATCCATCACCCTTTCCAGTGTCAATATTGCTTCCTCTAATTTAAACTCTTAAAATAGACTCCATGGGGAAGGCCTGATGAGTTTTATTATTTTCAAATACGTTTGATTGTCACAGCAGGTCTTACCTCCAGTCATCTTTGTTTAAATTAGCCAGGATGTTCATTTCTTCTTCTTGCATGAGTCTATATGCAGCACTTACATGATGATTTTCAAGAACAGAACGATCATTGTACAATATAGCAACATCTGACCTAGAGTTGAAAAAAAAGGCAAATTTTGTAAAAGTGTCCTGATGATAGCACTGTGAAAGATAAGACTATGTGTTCTCTATGAGAACTATTGACTACGTATATATCAAATTATAGTTATTTTTTCATATTGTATCAAATATCAATAAATTTTCCATCTTGGAACAAAACTTGGCATAAAATGTTTTTGTTATACCATTGTATGTACTGTTTGTGGGAAAGTCATATTTTTAAATGTGTGATGTTTCATTTATGTGATATAACTGTTACAAAACTTTGTGAGATCTTTGAGCTTCTTGACTGTAGATAGGACTGTAGGTAGAGCAACAGAAATGGTCTAATTAGGCTACTCAAGAGTATTCTTTGTAAATACAACCATTTCAAATGCACCAACAGCAGGAGCTTCACACATAGCATGGGTGTCAAGAGTTACTACCCCTGCTCTGAGAGATGTGATTTGGCCCATGCTACTCATTATCATAATAAGCTATAAATAAGAAAATATAAAACCCCTTCAATTTCATATGCTTTAAACAGACACCATCTTTCGTCTGAAAAACAGCCAAACCTTTTCCCTTATAACAATGGAATGGTAGAGATGCTAAGCTGAAATTTGGTTGCGCTCAAGTGCTTCCTAAAGACAGACCCACATCATAATGTTAGCATACTTGACAATATCCTTTCTCACTTAATTAAAGACTGATGCACAATACTGAAATTACATAGAGATTTTCACAAAATTTAATGTGGTGTGTATTTATCACACAGCTTCAAATGTCATTAACTCTTGGGGAATTTGTTTTGCCAAGACCTGATCTGACCTGATAAGCAACCTCAGGTCTCCCCATTCTGCTATACTTCTGTTCTGATAGAACTATACCCCAGCATTTTGATTTGGTCAAATGAAAAGTCTGTACTAGAAGAAAGGTGTGATGATTTAGCAGTGCAGCTTACTCTGACATAAATAAGGTAAATTCAAGCTTATTTTTCTTTTGAGCAATAGTATATATTGTCATGTATGGTACCAAGGAATCTAAAAAAAATTAAAATGGGATCAGAATCTTTATTTAGAGGGAAGAAACCATAACTTGCCTAAATAATCAGTATGTTTACACCCATAGTCCAACTAAAATCGTGGGAAAATCCATTTTATTCCAATCACATATGTTTATGAAGCACACTTAGATCAACATAGCTACTTATGGCTAGGTTTAAGCTGTGTTAAGATTTGCTGTGATTATGGCAGCCATTCCATCAGCTTTTCTCAGGCAAAAAAAAAGCCTGGAATCACAGCCCTGGGATGCCATATTAGGGCCAAGTTACACTAGGAGGGAAGAATGAGCTACATCACAAAACGAATACCTGTTTGCAAGTATGCTCAAATAAAAATCAAAGCTAACAGCTTAATTAATTTTCCACTCTTGCAATACTTTAGAGCAAAATGTTAAGGACAAAAATAGAAAAGTAATATAAACTTGGAACTACAAACAAAAGTTTATTTTTAGCCAGACTATGCTGAGGGAGAAAGTAATTATGTCCTTATTTCAGCTGCAAATCTAGAATTTGTCCATTATCAAAGGGCATATCTTGGGGCATGAGTATGTTACGGATTTAATTTAAATGTAACCATTTGGCACTTTGTCTATAAAGGTTAGCATGTGGTTGTTTCTGTTCAACATACTCATATTTCTGTCACTGAGCTGTTTTGTTAGAATATGCCAGAGCTATGCTGAAATTCTTTTTCAAAAGTAGCAAAAGTGAACTCCTCAACTGATGATACTAAAACCAAATTATAGCGTCCTGTAAGAGAACAATAAGATACTTTGTACTAGGTTAAGTATCAGGTGTACCATTTATCACCCAGCAATGGATTGGCCAGGGATTTTCCTTTGATAAGGTGGAAATATTTTAAGGGCGAGAGGTATATGCTGTTGTTCAGGACCAGAATGCTGCACCTGCATGAGAATACGGTGAGCCTAACTTTAAAACTGGATTCCTTTCTATATCTCTTTTTCATAACTGCTGCAGATGCTGTCAAAACATGCTAGGCAGGACTAGGTATTTCTAAAGCTGTACTTGAAGGTTTCTCCCTCTGCACCAGGACCCTGTAACTTTAATACACAATGTGAAATAAAACCAGGCACATTGCTGGAAATGAGGTGGTATTTTTATGAAGACACTGTAGAAGAAATTTTTGAGTGAGAATTATCAGAATATAAGTGAACAAATAGAGAAGTGAAGGGGCTTCAAGTCCATATTCTGAATATTTTTGAAATTTCTCTTGACATATCAGCCCCAAAATAGAGTGATTTCAAACACTATGGAGCTCCTTACTTTTCCACACTGTCCTTGTTCATGTGAATGGTCCCATTTACTGTACAGAGGTCAGGGAAACACTCTGTAAAATCAGAATGGCATGTCTACTTCCTGGCTGTATCAGTAAGAGGTATGAAACAGTTCCAACCAGTAAACAGCAAACTCCAGACATGACACTTAAAGGACCACTTTGCTTACCTTGTCTGAATATGAAAATTGTTTGTGGTCCCAGTATGTTCATAATCATGGACAGCAGCTGCAAAGATCATTGCTAAAATTTCCAGTTCTGTGAGCCAGTGCTGGTAAACAAAAAACAAATCCTAGTCACATTTTCTATAATAACCTAACTCAGATTAAACACCACTGAAATGTGTACTGAAAATGTTTTGCATTACCTTAAACTTAAACAAACTTTCCTCGTCTTATCCCAGGTAACTATATATCCATAACACTTCAGCATTATACAGTAAAATAAGCCCTTGTACTTATTATGATTTCTCTGAAACCAAATTAATGTCCTTATGGTCACTAGCAAAGTAAACATTGGCAGCTGAAAATATAGGAAATTATTAAGGGAATTACATGGTATGCTTTGCAACTGCTTTGAGTATCTAATCTGTTAGCCCATACATGGCACTTGCCAAATTATGGTATGTTAATCTAAAAACATAACAAGAAGTTAAGGTTATAATTTGTAAACTATATATACAGTTCATTAAAAAAATCAAAGATACAACATCAGCATTAACAATTTTACCAGTGTATATAGCACTAAAATTAAGCCCATGGGAGACTTTTCTGTTCTAAATTTTATCATACTTTCTACTAATGCAAAAAAACCCAAACCAGTGCATAAGGCTAGTATACAGTTACACAGAACAAAAGGTAACACAGGTCATGTATACAAAATAGTGCAGACCCTGGAGTTTTGTGCCTTTTTATAACCCTTGCTAACTGAGGCTGTTCTGTATTGCTCAGTTTTCAAAATAACCTCTGTTACCTTCTTTAAAGTTCTATTTCTTGAATGATAAATCATCCTTGAGGAAAGAATTTACTCTATCTAAAAATGGGGGCAGAAAAATCATATGATAATTTACCCCCACAGTCACAGGACTGATTAAGTCAAATGCCAGTCAAGCATTTCCACACGTAATTCAGATGTTTTTAGTGTAGAAGCGAGTTTCTGTACTAAAGGATCAAAGAATTATCTCAACTTTATGCACCTGAATATGCATATACATGTGTATGAATGGATATAAGATGTATAAGCTGCCAGAAGTAGTAAAAGTCACCAACAGTAGTACTTATTTCAAAGAAGAAGAAAGGAAACAACCAAGATTCATAAGTTAGAATAATGAAATAGGCCATTCAGTGACAGAATAAGACTGCTGAGGATCAACAAGTAGTGGCTGTTGGTGAAGCAGCATAGATACTAAAAGGCCAGAACAGAGGAATGAGAATGTACTGTAAGCAGTTCTAAAAATGGAAACTATGACCTTCATCATATTGTGTGCCACAAGAAACCAGGCCATGACCAGTCCTGGCTTTCACAATGTTTTCAACATACCGAATAGAATAGAAACACAGAAATTATTAGTAACTAAAGCTAAACATAAACTTTTTCTTTATGATGTCTTTTCAAAGGTCATCTTTTTTGGCAACCAAAATATTTGCTAGACAATGCATTTGTAAGTAGAAGAATGTTCCTTAAAACAATAGATATTGTGTGAGCTATGCAGACATTTCCTACAGCAATATATGAGAGCAAGCATTGTAAAGACGCTAGCTGTACAGTCAAAATTCAGATCAGTATTCAAATCAGAGAATCAGAGAACTACTTTAGCTAAAGAATTTCTAAGGAAGTAGAAGAAAGCTCTTAGAGAGGTAGTTAACAAGTGATTTTCTCATAGGGAGAGGGAAAAGCAGGTATCTGTGGGTCTGGAAGATTGCAAAGAGCTGAAATCTGCTTGCATCCTGAAAGATACTAAGCCATGCAGGTATAACACCTATTGTAAAATATGTCTTCTCTTGAGAGACATTTTCCGGTATTATAAATTGCTTATAAGCAAATAGAAATATTTCAATGTATCATGAGCTCTCTTTCAAACTACTTTTTAGAAAATGATGGATTAAAAACTGAGTAAGAAATGGAGTTTCACAGTGCACTTATTGACAGTAAAGACATTTTTTCCTTTACTTTGAGCAATACAGGTACGTGGGAGGAGAAAAGGGATGGTGGGAAGATGATCGATGACTCAAAAGTTCTTTACAAGATGTATTCCCTGGGACTTGGATTCTTAAATCTTTATAGAGATGAAAACTTCATAAATGCAAGCTTGAGTTACACATTTCAGTCGTGTCATCTGGGACTTAATCTCTTGGGAAGGTTAATAGATTGTGTGCCATCTGTGATATCTAACTTTCTAACACACTGATCTGAGGTGGCTGGATCTTGTTTCTTAAGATAGACAGCAATTTTTGAAAAATATAATGGCAATTCTATTTCTTTAACTCTGACTCTGAATATGTGTTATTCTTCACTGGAATCTGTCTAAAGGCTTGTGTAGAAGCACAAACTGACCAGCCAAATTTTTTGGGAAATGCTGAAGTATGGTTTCTTACCAGGTGCCTATAAAAGATACAAAATATATGATCTCAGCAACAAGAATCATGAAAAGGATTTTCTAAAACCCATCTCTTTGAAACATTTGCTTCAGTATGTCTTTTGTAAATGAACAATGAAGACAGCAATTCTGTGTAAGATTTGGAGTCAGTATCGTTTCCTTAGGATACAATGAAAGAATGATAACTTCAGATTGCACACCAATCTGCAAAAAAAAACCCCACACGTATTTGGTCTAGAATTTCCTCAATAATTTCATCCAATCCAGGTATTTGTTAGAAATACAGCAGAGTTAAAAGAGGTATGACAATGGATGTGCTCTGAAAACTATTAGCTTGAGAAGCAAATTTCAACTTGCTATTGAGTAGGGTTCTGGAGGGTTAACCAGGCAACAGGAAAAAAAACCCAAACAAAACCAACAAGTTAAATAGAACATTTTTGTGGTACTGCTACATTCTCAAATTGCAAGTGACATTTGGGACAGAAATACTTCGCAAGCTGCAGAATCACTAGGTCCTCTTTGAAACACCGATTACTATAAATGTTCCTTCTGCCTGGCAAGCTACATCTGTTCGAAGGCACTCTTGACTAAGTGTTGTCCTAGTTAGATATCTTTCCAAGAACTTTCCAGTATCATAGAATCATAGAATGGTTTGGGTTGAAAGGGGCCTTAAAGATCATTTAGTTCCAATCCCCTGCCATGGGCAGAGAAACAGCACAATTCAATATCATAATTCAGTAATTCAAATGTGAATTAAACCTGGCCTAATTTTGTAGCAGTGTTGCAACATTAATGAGATTTTGCAGCAGTAAAGTCTAAGCTTTTCTAAAAATAGTTTACCAAATTACATCAAAGTGCAGTTACAAGGTTAAGATGCTAATATTGTAAAACTTGAGTTGGAGTGCCTTTCTCATATTCATGTGCATCCTGTGGAACAGCAGATATTCAAATATCTATTTAGCCAAACAGATTCCTTCATTCAGTGTTCAAAGATATATAAAGTGTGTTGCAAAGTTGTTTAATCAATGGCTAAATGTCCCAAATTGACTAGGGTAGCTTTGGAAGTTGGAACCTTGTCCTGACATAATGAAAATCTGAATGCTATCATCTTTTTTGAAGGGCAGAGGAGCACAGATACAGTGAGCTAAAGGGATGTTTGAAGTGTATAATAGAACACAGGGATTTTCCCCCCGGGTAAGCTGCTGATCCAGGTGTATACCTGCAACAGAGACATGTCTCAAATCACTTAACTCTTGCAGTTAACCTTGCAGTAGAAGACAAGGGTAGGATAGGACCCAGAACCTAATCTCTTCAAGATTTTTCTTTTATTATAATATTATTTTGATAGATGAATATTGTATACAACAACTTTGGTTTGGAGTCATCTTGACAAGAGCTGTCTAGCCTCTGCTTCAGTCTGATATTGGAAGTTCTTTCTCAAGAAAACATCTCAATGTGAAAAGGAATCGGCTGGTGAAGACTCCAGGCTTCACTCAGGAAGTTGCATTGGAGTTAAAATGCAACTTAAAAACTTGATACTTAGAAGCAAAACACTTCCTTCAAATGGTAGAATAAACATCTGCAATGCCTAACGACCTTATCTTGCCCCCACTGAAGCCAAAGGCAAAGTTTTGAGTGAGAAAAGGCTTAACATATGCAAATGACTATTATTTATTGTGTATATGTTGGAGAAAAACCATGTAGAGTCAGCCTTATATTTTTCCTTTTCAAAATTCTTATGGAATTGTTTCATGGTTCAGCAAACAGAAATCAGACACTCTCCTCCCAGTTTGCTTTTTGGGTTTGGTTTTTTTTTAAACAAGTGTATTCACAGTGAAGACAAATCATCAAAAGACCATTGGCACCAATGCCCATTGTCTTTCAGTCAGTACTTACATTTGCCTAGTAAGGTGATAGTGAGGAGATTCTCACTACTGCCAGTAAATGTAAGATAAGCATTTAGAAATAAAAATGCTTGTGCAGACTCATTTCAGTTCCCAAATAAATAGTAAAAAATATTGTGACATTGCAAGGCAAATGTAATCTTCTGCCTACTATAGGTTCATAGATTATGCAAGAGTAGTCCTAAATAAGGTTATAAACTAAAAGAAAAAGCAGCTGCAGAGTTCAGGGCTAGGCTGGATGAGGCTTTGAGCAGACTGGTCTAGTGGGGCCAGGGGTTGGAACTAGACTGTCTTTCAGACCCCTTCTACCCCAAATCATTCTATGATGCTTTAATTCTAGGCCTGCTCTGATCTGGTACATTTTTCAATGGTCAGGACCTCAGCAGATCTTGAAGCTTCCTTGCCTGATCACACCTCCCATTCTGTGATGTGAAAGTAAAAAATTCTCACCTGCCCACTCCTGCAAATCTATCTCTTTTAATATGATATATAATACCCAAGTCCAGGCAACAAAGAGCAAAAAGGATTTAAGGAGGATTTTTTCCTCCTTTTCCCCTCCACATACTAAGAGTTTCAGCCTGAAAGAACTGTTAAAATGACATACAGTTTAGAGTTTGATGGTTGTTTAGAATCTCACTCTGCACAATTTTCAATTTTCCTTAAGAAAAGACATATGTACACATTTATTCAAAACAGCAGAGTCTGAGAAAAGAAGTAAAGTAAACTTCACAATATTTCTTACCATGATACCAGTGTGAATCATTATGTAATGCACAGTTTGAGTAACATCAGCTGCATGGATCAGATTGTGATACGGATTTTTGTACTTGCTGTAGCCAACTTCAAGAGCTTCAGCAAATGAAATAAGATTGGGAACAGGGATCTAGGGAAAAGAAAAAAATAAAATTGGTTTTCTCCTGCAACAGCTGCAAAGTTAATCATGCAATCACAAATAACATACCACAGAATGTAGCTAGCAAACAACAAAAGAAAAAATATAATATAAAGGTCTTATACCACACATGTATCAGTGAGTCTTCTCCCAATTCTTGTAGTTATTATATCCCTCTACATACACCATGCACAAGAAACTGCAGAGCTATCAACCAAATGGTTTTCAAGACATGTCTGTCTGTACCAGGAATACATGGATTGCTCAGCTAATAGAGGCATGACAGATAGTACTCGAACAATAGGATTATCTCCTTTTCTTCACCAGTTTTACCCTGCCTGAGACATGTTTTCCTTTAATCTGATAGTATATGACTTTCCTTCTTCCAGGCAATGTGTGAAGTATAGGGACTATCTAGTGCCACTTATTTTTGCATTGTGCTGCTTTTGGGTGGGATAGAGTTAATTTTCACCATAGTAGGTAGTATGGGGCTATGTTTTGGACTTGTGGTGGAAACAGTCTTGATAACACAGGGATATCTTAGTTACTGCTGAGCAGTGCTTACACAGAGTCAAGGCCTTTTCTTTTTCTCACCCCATCCCACCAGTGAGCAGGCTGGGGGTGCACAAGGAATTGGGAAGGGACACAGACAGGACAGTTGGCTCCAACTGACCCAAGGGATACACCACACCTTATGGTGTCATGATCAGCAACATAAAGCTGGGGGCTGGCTGGGGGGGGCCCTGCTCGGGGACTGACTGGGCATTGATCTGTTGGCAGTGAGAGCTATTTTCATTTTCATCACTTCTTAGGTTTTATTTCTCTCTCTTTGTTATTTTCCTTTTCATTCATTTTTATATTATTATTATTATTATCATCACTACCATATTATCATTATTAAACTGTACTTATTTCAACCCACGGGTTTTCTCACTTTTACGCCTCCAATTCTCTTCCCCCTATCCTGCTGGGGAGAGGAGTGAGTGAGTGAGCGAGTGACAGTTTGGTGCTTATTGCTGGCCTGGGGTTAAATCACGTCTCATATATAATGAAGTCACATTTTCCTCAAAATTTTTTCTATATTTAAAAACCTTTCAAGGTAAACAATGGGACTGAGAATGAGCTTAAGCCCACTCTCTACCAGTAACATCATGTACTTCTTGCCTGTGTTGTGAATGGTAGCCCTGGTGTGGTTCCAACTTCAAGCACACAAAGCTTGTTGGGAAAAGTTGAGTTACAAGTAACAATTAAAATAGTCAAAACAACTTCAGGGTGAGGCAGCCTCTTCATAAGGAATATGGAGTTTTGCAGTGGAGAGATTTTGAAGCCATAAGAAATCTTTCATTTCATACTACTCTAATGATAAATTTGGCATTTTGATCCATTTTTTTATCTCAACTTTTCAAATTTGGTTGTAAGTACTTCATATTGTATTGCACAGCCCTGCAAACACCATGGAAAAGAAGCTTTTTCTTTACATATCCATAGTTGGTTAGGAGAGGAAAGTTCAGTCAAAGCCCCTGCACAGTGGTGGGCAACACACTATGACCTAGATCATGAAAAAATACTTGGGACTAACTGCAGTTTTGTGCCTTATTGGTAATCTTTGCTCCATGAAG